GGGGGGGTCCCCAAAGATGAGGGGGGGTCCCCAGTCCCCCTTGGGGTGTTCTGTGTTATCCCAAGGGGTTCAATGCCCCCCCAAACCACCCCAGATTGGGCAAATCCACCCCATAGATGGTCCCCATTCCTCCCCGGGCACCCCAAATCCCCCCCCGGGAGGTCCCTAATGATGGAGGGGGGGTCCCCAGCGATTGGGGGGTAACACAGAACACCCCAAGAGGGTCAGTGCCCCCCCAAACCACCCCAGAGGGGGCAAATCCACCCCATGGAGGACAGATGCACCCCAAGGGGTCCCCGATCCACCCCAGGCACCCCAAATCCCCCCCTGGGAGGTCCCTAATGATGGAGGGGGGGGTCCCCAAAGATGAGGGGGGGTTCAGTGTTACCCCAAGTGGTTCAGTGCCCCCCCAAACCACCCCAGAGGGGGCAAATCCACCCCAGAGGGGGCAAATCCACCCCACGGAGGACAGATGCACCCCAAGGGGTCCTCGATCCACCCCGGGCACCCCAAATTCCCCCCCGGGAGGTCCCTAATGATGGAGGGGGGGTCCCCAAAGATGAGGGGGGGTCCCCAGTCCCCCTTGGGGTAACACAGAACACCCCAAGGGGGTCAATGCCCCCCCAAACCACCCCACGGAGTACAGATGCACCCCAAGGGGTCCTCGATCCACCTCAGACACCCCAAATCCGCCCCCCGGGAGGTCCCTAACGACGCAGGGGGGGTTCCCCAAAGATGAGGGGGGGGGTCCCTACCAGGTGCCGTTGGAGGCAGCGGAGGCTGTGGCCGTATTTGAGGCAGAACTCGCAGAGGTAGAGGACGGGCAGCGCCGTCAGCTCCTGGGGGTAGGGGGAGAAGTACCAGGGTTTGAGGCGGTGCCGCCCCAACTCGATGCACTCGATGTTCTTCATGCGGGTGACGATGTCGTCGTGGCTGCGATCAGACACCAGGCTCCCCGTCATCCGGGGGGCAGAGGGGGCTCCGTCCGACGAGTCCTGAGAGTCCTGGGGGTCGGGGAAGGGGTGGGGGGAAAGAAATTCGGGGTTACCCCCCATCGGAGAGAACCTCCAGTCGGCTCGATGGCGGGTTCTGCCGCCTCCTGCCTCAGTTTCCCCACTTTCAGGTTGGGTTCCGTCCCTTTTCTCCCTCATTTCCCCTTTCCTGCCCCAGTTTCCCCATTTCCAGGCTCTTTCTCCCCTTTCCTGCCCCAGTTTAAGGCTGGTTTCTCCCCTTTCCTGCCTCAATTTCCCCACTTTCAGGTTGGTTTCCATCCCTTTTCTCCCCCCATTTCCCCTTTCCTGCCCCAGTTTCCCCATTTCCAGGCTCTTTCTCCCCTTTCCTGCCCCAGTTTCCCAGTTTCGGATTGGTTTCCATCCCTTTTCTTCCCCATTTCCCCTTTCCTGCCCCAGTTTCCCCATTTCCAGGCTCTTTCTCCCCTTTCCTGCCCCAGTTTCCCAGTTTCGGATTGGTTTCCATCCCTTTTCTTCCCCATTTCCCCTTTCCTGCCCCAGTTTCCCCAGTTTCAGGTTGGTTTCTCCCCTTTCCTGCCCCAGTTTCCCCAGTTTAGGGCGGGTTTCTCCCCTTTCCTGCCCCAGTTTCCCCAGTTTCAGGCGGCTTCTCCCCTTTCCTGCCCCAGTTTCCCCAGTTTAGGATTAATTGCCCTCCCTTTTCTCGCCCCATTTCCCCTTTACTGCCCCAGTTTCCCCATTTCCAGGCTCTTTCTCCCCTTTCCTGCCCCAGTTTCCCAGTTTCGGATTGGTTTCCATCCCTTTTCTTCCCCATTTCCCCTTTCCTGCCCCAGTTTCCCCAGTTTCAGGTTGGTTTCTCCCCTTTCCTGCCCCAGTTTCCCCAGTTTAGGGCGGGTTTCTCCCCTTTCCTGCCCCAGTTTCCCCATTTCCGGGCTCTTTCTCCCTTTTCCTGCCTCAGTTTCCCCACTTTCCGGTTGGTTTCCGTCCCTTTTCTCCCCCATTTCCCCTTTCCTGCCCCAGTTTCCCCAGTTTAGGACTGGTTACCCTCCCTTTTCTTGCCCTATTTCCCCTTTCCTGCCCCAGTTTCCCCAGTTTCAGGTTGGTTTCTCCCCTTTCCTGCCCCAGTTTCAGGCTGGTTTCTCCCCTTTCCTGCCCCAGTTTCCCCAGTTTCAGGCGGCTTCTCCCCTTTCCTGCCCCAGTTTCCCCACTTTCAGGCTGGTGTCTCCCCTTTCCTCTCCCAGTTTCCCCAGTTTAAGGCGGGTTTCTCCCCTTTCCTGCCCCAGTTTAAGGCTGGTTTCTCCCCTTTCCTGCCTCAATTTCCCCACTTTCAGGTTGGTTTCCATCCCTTTTCTCCCCCCATTTCCCCTTTCCTGCCCCAGTTTCCCCAGTTTAGGATTAATTGCCCTCCCTTTTCTCGCCCCATTTCCCCTTTACTGCCCCAGTTTCCCCATTTCCAGGCTCTTTCTCCCCTTTCCTGCCCCAGTTTAAGGCTGGTTTCTCCCCTTTCCTGCCTCAATTTCCCCACTTTCAGGTTGGTTTCCATCCCTTTTCTCCCCCCATTTCCCCTTTCCTGCCCCAGTTTCCCCAGTTTAGGGCGGGTTTCTCCCCTTTCCTGCCCCAGTTTCCCCATTTCCAGGTGGTTTCTCCCCTTTCCTGCCCCAGTTTCCCCATTTCCAGGCTCTTTCTCCCCTTTCCTGCCCCAGTTTCACGCTGTTTTGTCCCCTTTCCTGCCTCAACTTCCCCACTCTCA